CTCTACAAAGAAAAAAAGTGTTGTAATTTCTTAAAAAAAAAAAAACTTTAATTCTTTCAGTTTCAGGCAGTCAGATCCCTAGATGTAGTTTGTCTTCCGGAAGTTTTTGTTGAACCCTGGGAATCGGACCGACCCTCCCCCTGCTAGGCAGGTTTTTCTAGGGAGTGACATGGAAGTCTGTTTTAATTTATATATGTTTTAAGGATTTTTCTGATCGAGCGTTTTGGGTAAATACCTCGGAAATCCTTGAAAGATTTTTTTTCAATTTAAGAAAGAAGTTTTTTGCGGGAAAGGGTACGCTGTTGAGTGAGTAGCAACCAAACGACTAGATCGAGCCATTTCAAATCGCGATAGCAATAGGTTTATTATTAATTTATTAATCACATATTAGAGTTTACGGAAAGAGCTCTAAATTAATCTCTGCGTCATAAATTACATTTGATTAATGCGACATAACTTTTCAAGCTATAGTGGTAGATTTTAACAAAGTTTTCATATCGATAGGGAACTATTATTGAGTTATTTAAGTCATATATTTCTTAATTACACCCTAACCCCAAGTCAAGTTTCTGGACCTCTCCACGTCGATACAACATAAACACAATAAGGTACCTTCCCCTTTTCTGTCATTTAGAAGATGTAAATCGGGCAAAGAAACAGTGAAATATCACCCTTTACTTGTGTCACTTTTCTGTTGGGTTCGACATTGAAGTCGAGAGCCATATCCTCTTGCTTTTGCCCTTCTAACAATATCGTCTGAATTAATCTATATTATGACTGTGATCAAAGTCCTATTTAGCTTCTACTTATCTACCGCAAACAGTGTTCTAATATCGGGACTACTTCTTACAATCTAACTGTTCTTTTTAAAAATGTGTGGCTCGTATAAGTGAAATTTTTTTTTCTCCAGGAGCGTTGTTTACTGCCACCAAACATAGGGTTTCAGATTGGATCTTGCTCAAGAATATCGTAAACTGGCTCAGTGGTAATGTTCAAGTCATTTGCTTTATCTCAAATATTTGGTTTGGATTTTTCTAAGTTAGGATGGATTGGTTCTACTGTAAACATATCACTTTGATGGCGAGGGCCTCCTTCATCTTCAATTGCCTCCAAAATGTTGTACACAGGGTCACCATCATTTTCATTGACGTTTCCCTCTAAAGTGTTGTAAAAAGGCTCCATTGGACCCGTTCCAGCATATTGGCTTGATTCTTCTGCTCCATCAAGAGATCGCCCTTCTGAGACGTTACCCATAGGATGATTACCATCATCAACGTAGTTGTAAACTAGGTCTTCCGTAGAGTCTGACGTGATACCGAAAAAGGCTGGCCTTTGAGAACCATCGAGGCACGACCCCTCCAAAACGTTGTACACAGGTTCAGTGCCATTTTCATCACCCTCAGCGGGTCCTTTTAAAGGCTCCATGAGTATTTCCTCCATAAGATCATAAACGCATTGATTCACACTGATGGGGTCATTTATGTTAGGCCTCGTATCTTTGGCAACTGTTTCCTGGCTGTTTCTGTGACCGTAGATGTTTTGTCCACCAGAAATACTCAAAGGAGCGTACAAATGTCCCTCGTCATCATTATTTTTTCTCGAATTCCCTTCGTGTGCTTCTCCATTGCGAACAGGCACTGATGCATAAACAGCTAAAAATACAAAAAGTGTAAGATTATAGGTCGGAATGGTTCGTCTCTTTTATGATGTGTACAGAATGAAGCATTTCCTCCGTGAATCTTTGACTCGATCTGTCATCATTCCTGTAGGAATCCTTAATCCAAAAGCCATTTTCCGAAAAAATTATGGATGGTTCTTTTCGTTGCTGCAGTCTTGAAGGAGAGCTCACAGACTGAGAGAGAATTGATAAAAGTAAAAGGTGCCTTTACTCACCTGAATCTTCAAGTGTAAGCGTTCTGTAATGATCCTCGTATTCCGGCCCATCTGATCTAATTTCATCCAAACTTCTTATAACTGTTTCCTGAGACAACCGAAAAAAGTTGAAATTAGGAATTGAAAAGCAGCTAGAGGCCAAAGTCTTTATACGTACCCTTTTCTCTTTGCTCTCTCTACCAGAATTGGACCTCTCCCTGCCAAAAGAATTAATAGTATCATTAATTAAATTGCAACAGTGGCCAATGATCGATATGTCTCAACGAAAGTCCCGTTCCAAGAGTTATCCCTGGAAAATTGGCAAATGGTGCCTGGAAAATGAGGTCGATTTGGACGTTAGCTAGAAAACCTGACCAGAGGGTATCAACTCGAGGTTCGCTTAATGGTAAACCTCTTCAAAAAGGTGAACCTACTTACAATGAGTGTCGGTGTCGATAAATCAGGAGGGCGATAAGGATAAGAATAACCAAAATGGAGACGGAAACACCTGCGATGAGGGCCAAGGGGGATGATTTTCCACCCGATCTTTGCTCTTGGTTATGATCAGGACGGGCTACTACAGTACTCTGTTGACGAGAAGCACAATACGTTACAACCTCTATACTCTGAAGTTTCTTCGCGCATACAAAAGAAAGCCTATAGGCTGTCTATCGTGTATTATGATCAATTGCATTCTTACTTTAGAAGGTGAGTTTGTTGTCGTCGATCGCTTTTCTAAGGTAGTGGATGGAGCTTCGGAAACGTTCTGCCGGGCCTTGGACAGCTTCGTGACCTTGGAGGCTTTCGGCAGCGTAGTTAATGTTGGGGTTTGTATGGTATCTTAATTAATATAAAGGGAAAAATATGATAGTGATGGATGTTTTCAAGGCCGGGTGATATGACTTCTTGGTATTCACCGATGAGACACAAGAGAAAGCCTGATTGCTTTCCCACAAGAATTACATAAAGTAGTATTGAAATATCTGAATCAGAATACTATTCCGAAAAAGCTTTATACAGTGTGTAGTTGCACGTAAACTAAGCTAAGGCAACTTTCAACACACTGCGATAAACATTGCTTCTTTTGTAAGGAAAATGTGTTCCCATTAAAAAACCAAGCTCGGTTGGTAAGCGGTCGGAAGTGCAATTTCCGTCATGCAATTTAATCACTTTCAAGAAAAAAGACAAAAATGAACATCATGCAGCAAATCTGGTGAAAAAATTGAAGACATTCATAAAAACGCCACTCGCCGTGTTGAAGTAGATGGTCACCATGACAGCATTAATGTTTTCATGGGATAAGAGACTTGTCACCGAATTAATTTGACATTTTTAAGTCGAGGGGAGAAATACCTTAACTCAACATTAATCTGCGTATTTTCACCGATTTAGACACACTCAGCAATTTCTCCTCTAACTCCCATGGTAAAGACATCAAGGAAATGAAAAATAACGTAACACTTCGCTCCTAATATGGTATCAAAAGTTTTTAAAAACTTACAATTAATGGTTCCTTCAAATTTGAACAGCAACGCCACGCTTCTAGTCGAGCCTCTCCGAGTGTCATTACAAGTTATTTTGACCTTGATTATTCTCCCTTTTAAGGAATCTTTGCTAGTCGTGTTAATTACCTATACGCAGCACAACACCACGGTCAGTACAATAATTGTTTGTAACACTCTGGTTATGTTCTGCCGCAGAGGCTATCTTAGAGTGTACAGGCTTATCTTTATCACGGCGCAAATGGAATTCAAAGTCTATTCTGATTTATAATTCCAACGTAATTGAGGAAATTTTCAATCATGTGTTTGAAATATTTTGGGATTGCATTACAGATGCTTCAATTTGCCCCTTTGTGATTGGTCTTTACGACTCACGCTACCCTCTCAACCAATCAGATGCACAATGAAAATCGAAAATCAAATTGGGGTCTCTTTCGTTTTCCAGTGCTTCGGGAAGTTTTGTTGTTTCACTTTGAATTCTCATTGGTTTCTTTTGAGTCTCCCTTCGTCTTAATTGGTCATATTCACGGATTTGATCGGTGGAGCGACTCTCAACAAAACTTAAAAAAAAATAATGGAAGGAGCTTGTAGAGTCAGTTACGAGAAGTCTGAAAAGTAATTACCCGAAAATCTTGGGGGAAGTCATCAGGAAAGGTTTTGGTGTCCAAGAGGAAAAACCAAATTGCTGGAATACTTGTGCTTCCCAGGCCTTTAGGAGCCCGTCTTTCATTCTTTAACCTATCTAAACATTAGTGATTGACCAACCAGGAACGATACATTTTGTTCATTATATGATAATGTCTATTATCCTTGTCTGTTGTTCGTAAGAAAAAGAGTAGAGCATAAGCTACAATTAGTGAAGAGATGACTCAAAGAAATATTTAAGTCATACCTTAATATAGTAACTGTTTTTTTCAGCTATCAATTCAAAAGTATTGCTTTCAGGCGATGCATCCTCGCGGTCACCACATTTGAAATATCTCGTTCCTCCATCTTGGGTACAATTAGGCATGGTGTGATTAAGTCTAAAACGTCTTCTTTCGCAAATGATTAACACGCGCAGCTCTTTTCTTTTAATCTCGCATTTAAATTGGAAGTACGTCCCTGTATCGCCTCCTGTTGATATATATGTTGAGAGTGAGTAAGAATTCCAAATCCCCGATTTTAAGCACTGAGCATGTATTATATCTTGTGTCGTGTGGAATTGAGGAGTATTGGAGTATGATTTTAATGGAAAGTGCAGCTATTAGGGGCTAATGTCAACAAGCATCACACAAACAGCGGCAAGTCACCCAAAATCTGCTTTCACTCCTACTTTAATATTTTGTAGCCCAATATGTCCAAATAATCGTGGTGTAGTTTTTTTGTGAAAATATATTTTAGTTTTCGAGAAATGATTTTTTTAGTTCGACCGCTCAAATATGCAAACTTTCACCGTTAATGTTACTCGAGTTGTGTGACCTCGTGTAACAAATATAACTGACCTCCGGTAGTTTTATGAAAATTCCATGAATTTCCAGTGAAAAACCCATGAAAGTCATTTCATGGCCCATGAATACTGCAAAATGAAAATTCATGGGGTTATTTCAAGCCCTGAATTTTCCATGAATTAGGGGAATTTTTTTCATGACCCATGAATTTCTTTAAGTCTACTTTCGTGACCCCATGAATTTCCCCTGAAAGTCACCAGAATGAATTCCATGACCCTTTAATTTCTTTAAACGGCCAACTATCATGACCCATGAATTTCTTTAAGTCTACTTTCAATACCCATGAATTTTCCCTGAAAGTCACCAGAATTAATTTCTTTAAAAGCCTACTTTCGTGACCCATGAATTTCTTTTACTCTACTTTCGTGACCCATGAATTTCTTTAGGTCTACTTTCATGACCCATTAATTTCTTTTACTCTACTTACATGACCCATGAATTTCTTTAAGTCTACTTTCACGACCCATTAATTTCCCATGAGAGTCACCAGAATGAATTTCTTTGAAAGCCTACTTTCATGACCCATGAGTTTCTTTAAAGTCGACTTTCATGACCTAATAGTTTCCTCAGAAAAGTCAGCAGAATTCATTTCATGCCCCATGAATGGCAATCAAATAATTCCAAGAACTTCTCCATATCTTGAATGTAAAGATTTTAAGACAAGGAATAATTTTAGAGGCTTAAAACTTTGGTCCAATAAAAGGTATGCTATACAAAATGTACCAAGAGATAAACATACATCNATCTGTGGTCTTTCCTTACACTTAGGTAGCACGGAAAGCCGTAAAAGTCTTGAACAAAAGCTCATCTTTCAAACCGGCAGTCTAAATCCCACAGGGATCAACGAACGCTTTTCATTCCACTAATTTATTCTTGTTTTTTTCGTTGCCATGTTCCCACCAATAACGTAGCTCCATATTCTCTGCCTTTAAAAGCACACACAACCCACAATTCCTCTATTGGCTCCGACGAAGGGCTAACGCTCGAAACGTCAGCTTTTGTAATCGTTACGGTGGCCAATTTACCAGTTCAACTTTGTTGATATATTCAAATTATTTCGTTACTCCCACCGACGCAGCCCCAAACAGTTTCTTTCGAAACTATCAGCCTTTATACATGTATATGTATGTTTACATGAAATTTATTATTCAAACTAAGTTATAGTAATTCTTAACATAAATAGGCATTCTTTCATAAAGTAGCAGTCAGTTGTGTTAATTGCTAATTGTCAATAATAGATTTGCTTTCTAACCTCAAAGACTTCTTGGATTCCATAATCGTAAAAGTTTTTATTGTGATGTAAATGTCTCATGTCCACAGATCAGTGCCAAAATCATAAAACATAAACATAATCATAAACATGGAACGCTTTGGAATGTGCACATCCATTTGTAGGCGAGAATTCCAGCGCACCATAGTCGCTTCCTTCTCTTGTACAAATGTTTCTTCGTTGAGACGAACCTGACTCTGTTGGCAACGCCGCTAGTTTAGTAGATCAGAAGCGAAGGACTCGCGTCAGGGTTTCGAGTCTTTGTTTCCTCGATAACTTTTGCCCACAAATCGTTTACTTGTAGTACGTTCGATTCTTCTCGGTTGTTTCTACATAGAGTGAGTTCACATTATTATTTACATCATCTTCAAAACATGGGATCCAAGGTTAAGCATCGTCCAAACGCAGAGTACTGGTCGAGGAAGTCAGTAACTTTTTCTCGCTTCTGTTGAGAATGCAATCGGGCAAGCCAGCGGATTCTATTTATTAGCCAATGACAATTCCCAAAATGTCCACGTGATCATACTCGTGTTCGGAAACAATGAAAACTCCGTTTGGCGCTCAGCTTTGAAAGGAGCTTTTCATCGATTGATCGCTCGTGCTCGTGCTCGTGCTCGTGATTTACTTAATCAACGTCTCTTAAAGATGGGTTTTACTGTTGTTCAATGGGAAAACGAGAACAGCGTGAGTGGTACTAAATGGAGAGCCAGTCGTTGGCGCCGTGGAGTTAGAAGAAGGGACAACAGTTCCCATATTTATTGGCCGATACAAGGGTCAAACGGTCATTTATAAGCTTCGATTTTGAAAGTTTGTGGTGAGCACAAATTGTGATATTCGGTACGTGATCAAAACTGAGAATCGAATCGGTCACTTGCATGCCTCAATTTCTTAAGCTTACGCTTTACGATGAAATAAATCTATCAATAAGCTGAAGGTTTCAGAATTATTTTAGTCAGGTTTGACAACTGCGAGCCCAGTGAAGAAAGGCAAACAGCTGTTTAGTCTACAATTAAGGATAACTTCATTACAATTTATTGTTAGTTACAACAAGATTGTGACTCAAATATCAATTATTTAATTGTAATTAAGCCCTTTAATCCCAAGAAGGTTAAGTCAAAATTGAGTAGAAATCTTTGAATTTCAATTTGCAGAATCAATAAAAACAAACTGTACAACATGAAAGTTAAATGTTGCTTGACAGCTTACGTTTGAATTTTGGCACACAAGAGTTTTATTGTATTGCAAGCATACAGCTACATATACACTGTAGTATAGTCTTTGGCACAAGTGCAGAGGTGACTTTTTCATTCCAAATTCATGGCGTCTCCAAGGAATTTTCATGGTTCTTGCATATTCCAAAGAACCCCATGAAACCTTACTGGCTATTAACTTTCATGTGCCATGAAAATGCCATGGAGAGGCCATGAAAATTCAGGGAAATTTTTCATGGTCAATGAATTTTTTACATATTCACAGGATATTCGTGGGTCATGATTTCCTACAACCCATTAAAACTTAGTGAATTTTAACACCATGAATTTTTTTCTCATGAAATTCATGAGTTTTTCAATACCTTTGAAAAGGCCATGAAATGCCATTTTCATAGGTATTTCATGGCTTCTAGGTCACTTGACACAATGTTTCATGGGTCGTGAATATGCAAATTTTCACAGGTTTTTCATGAGATTTTTCATGTCTTTTTCATGGCACTGAGACCATGAAAAAGCCATTGATTTAACCATTGAAATCCTGTGAAAAATCTGTAAATTTACGATGCATAAATTCCCAAGATTTTCATGGGTTTTTATTTCATAGTGTTCTGACAACATATATAATACTTTGTTTTATCATCTAAGCTTAATCTCTTGTCATTATTGAAGCTGGCGAAGAAATATTTATTTTTTGGTGAATATTTTTGTCTGACATACTTTTTCTATGTCGAAAAGTAGCATCAAGACAAAGGGAGTTTTAACCGATATGACAGAATCTACTGAGCTTCTGGCTTTTATAATACAAAAGAATGGTTATAAAGCCACTGTAAAAATTTTCCTTATGTATTTGTGTTGTTCAAACGTGAGACGAACCCAAAGCTGGGCAAAATTTACTTGCTAGTGACTGAAATATACATGATGCCTACTTGTCGCCACCGTTTACGGACATAAATCACTACAATTTGCAAAAACATCTAATATAACACTCTTACCATGGTTATTTAGGATTTTAATAGCTGTTTCGATGATCACGTCATGCTCTACCACATTCTACCCAGAGCTGAGTTCCAGTTATTTTATCGGTTGCATGACAAGCGTGACACATAAATTCAAAGATGGATCAACCTCCGAAATACCAAGAGATTTTTTTTTTCCTCCTTGCATGACATCTAGAAAAACCTTCCAGGAATTTCTGTATTCAGGAAAATAAAATGTCCAGATTCATCAATGATTCCTTTGCCGGAGTAAGTCAGAGAATGTTTACAAGTCAATTTGATTGACAAGCTACATACTAATTTAGCGTGTTGATCTGTTGTAGAAGCGTCTCATCTTATATGGTAAAAAAAGGAGATTTGCTGTTCATCTAAATTTTTCGCTGGTGGAACTTTTGGCTTTAGTTATCGAGAAGACCGAAGCTATAAGTCTCAAGTCGTTCCCCTGCGGAGTTGTAAAAAAGGGATCTCAAGCCACTTGCGGAGTTGCAAGTTTTCAGATCCAGAAAATGAAGTTGACCTGATTTTGTCGCGAGCCGGCATCTTCAAGACGCCGAGAGATATCGAGGATTTGACAATTTGCCTCGCTCATAGATCAAATCTCGGTGTTGGGTGGAGTCGCGGTTTCAATAATAGATGTAGAGTGCCAAAAGAAGTGTCCAGCCTTGGTGAAGGCAGGGTTACGTCGATTCCAAAAGGCGATAGGGGAATTGGCAAGCGTGTTTCACGGAAAATACTCAAGGTATCTGGAAAATTCATACAACCTGGCTCCGATAAGTAGGCTACTTACCCCCGTTTGCAAAATTAGTTTCCTCAATAATATGGCATTTAGTGGAGAGGGTGGTCGAGTTTGGAGAGCGTACAACATTAGACCTGACAAATGGTTACCTTGGAGTGACCTTGATATTCCTACTTATTACCAGTTTCCCACGCTTAACAAAGCCACACCCACACACTGTTCTAATGTATGATTCACTGACGTTACAGTGAGACGAAGATTTTCAGATAAAAGCAACTCACCAAGTGATCAGATAACTGACACACCAGTGGAAACAGATTCCGACTCAGAGGACCAGAGCTTGTTCTTTGTACAGAGGAGAGCTGTATTAAGTCGTACCAAAGACTTTCATCCCTTTGGAACCACCTTGATTGCGGTAAACACCAATATGTTGTAGAGCGTGAAACCCTTTACGACAAAGCTATGTTAAAATATGCAGCTCAACTTGAAGAAGGAGCATCGACTAATGTGCCTTATGTCTCTGATAAAGCTGGTAACCTTGAACGCGGTGAACCTTCATTGAAAATGGGATGGGCCCCTAAAAGTTCCAAGCATTACAAGCGACTATCCAAAATACAGAAAGGCTACTTGCTTGACATTTATAACGCTGGTAATCAAACTGGTCACAAGATGGATCCTGTATATGTCTTGCGAAAGGCAAGACTCCCAAGTGGCGAATCAATTTTTAAAGTAGACGAATACCTGACATCTCGGCAAATAGCAAGCTACGCGGGAGACAGCAAAGAAAAAAGGTACTCAAGATGTTGAACTGAAACCCAGAAAGACCAACAGGCTGAGGAAAGAGAAATGGTCCTGCAAGATCTTCAGAAGGACGCCATAGATTCCATCTGCCATGCAATCATGCACGGCACTGACTCTTGTTTTATTTGTACATAATTGTTTTGATGGTATCACAATGCAAAGAATATTAACAGATAGTGCAAAGTAGTTAAGGTACCGCGTTTACATGCGAGATAATTTTTCCTGTAAAAATAAGTTTTTATGTCCTTTTCTGTCTTTTTCTTTGCAGATATGAGTTTCGTATAGCGTTTACATTATTCAGGTACAAAAGCTCGTCCAGAATTAATGTTTCGTTCTGAAATGAAAACCCAAATAAACTTATTAAAATGTTACTCGTTTGGAATAAATTTTACCCTGGAATCATGTGGCATGGCAACCGGGATGAACTCGTTCTTGAAGAAAACTAATTCCGATATCACGTAACATTTTATTCCCAGAGCATCACGCTTTGCTCTCCTGTCTCTATATACTATAAATTTCAATAGCGTTAAAGCAACAACTCGCTTTTAACTGCTTCGNGAATATCTTACAGTTGATGAACTTGACACAAAGTAACGGGGAACGACTTTTGAATGAATCTCTCCCTTTTCTTCTGGTAATCTCGAGATCCGCTGTCATTGTGAAAACAATCTCCCAAATTAAAAGAACCACCAATAGCTCTATATCACAAATTTTCATATTTTCGGATTTTTAAGTTCGAAAAGACAGAACTCAAAATGCCACTGTATCGAACCAACTAACTTTCCGGCGTTTGAAGTCGAGTGTATCACTATACTTGCTGCAAAGAATGAGCCTACAAGACAGAAGAGTTATCTCGTTCGCCGAACGATAACGTGCTCAATAATTTTAAAGCAAAAAGCTTAAACAAAGTTATGCAAATAAAGGTCCTCACCTAACAGAAAACCTTTCCTAAAGCGTACGTTTTCAAACATTATTGGTTGATACACTTCCTTCCAAGGTGCGAGAGTGAATACAGTTGTTTCGTTTTCTTTAACCCTATAACTCCGAAGATCTGATTGTTATTTCTCACCTCTAACTGCTACACGTTTCCTCGTAATTTGGTTGCGAGAATTTGGTGTAAAATCAAGATAACAACTTAAGCTGATAAGTTTGAATAATCTCATTACCAATCTAGTGGATATTGTATGGATACAAGAGATTATAATCTCTTGATGGAAATCATAGGGAGAAGTTACATGTTAATCATTTCTTGGAGTTAAAGCGTTAAAAATACGAATTTACTTCAAAGTACAACTATCACAAAACGACCGCCAAAACCCCGCTATGACTTGATTTCATGTAAAGTTGGTTTCTATTCCAGACTGTTAGCTCCTTTTCTCAAATCTATAGCCCCACTATCTATTTTTCCCAGTTTTTAAGAAGTAATTACAACACGTCGGCCAAACATACGCTGTGACTTGGTTTAATGCAAAGTTGGTTTATACTCCAGACTGTTAGCTTCTTTTCAAATCACTATGGCCCCATTTCTAATTTTTCCCAGTGTTTAAGATTCTAACGATATGTCGATGTTTTTGATAACCCAGTTTATAGATTTCACTATTAAAACTGCCATCAGCATATAGCAGCATAACTAGCAGAAAAAGGGCAATTTGCATTTACAAACACTTTAACTCTACAAAGAAAAAAAGTGTTGTAATTTCTTAAAAAAAAAACTTTAATTCTTCTTTTAGTTTCAGGCAGTCAGATCCCTAGATATAGTTTGTCTTCCGGAAGTTTTTGTTGAACCCTGGGAATCGGACCGACCCTCCCCCTGCTAGGAAGGTTTTGGTATGGAGTGACATGGAAGTCTGTTTTAATATGTATATGTTTGAGGAAGTTCTGATCGAGCGTTTTAGGTAAATACCACGGAAATCCTTGACAGATTTTTCAATTTAAGAAAGAGGTTTTGGGGGAAGGGTATGCTGTTGAGTGAGTAGCAACCAGGCGACTAGATCGAGCCATTTCAAAATACGATAGGGCTAGGTTTATTGTTTATTTATCAATCACATATTACAGTCTACCGAAAGAGTTCTAAGTTAAGCTCTACAACATGAATTACATTTGATTGACGCAGTATAACTTTTCAAGCTGTAGTCATGGATTTTAACCAAGTTCTCGTAGCGATAGAATACTAGTATTAATTTATCCCAGTCATATATTTCTTACACCCTAACCCTAAGTTAAGTTTCCGGACTTCTCTACGTCAATATAACATAAGTACAATTAGGTCCCTTTCCCTTTTTTGACATTAAGAAGATGTAAATCGGGCAAAGAAACTGTGAAATATCACCCCTTTGCGTGTGTTACTTTTCTGTTGGGTTCGACATTGAAATTGAGAGCCATTTCATCTTGCTTTTATTCCACTGGCCATACCGTCTGAATTAATCCAAACTATGACTGTGATCAAAGTGTTATTCAGCTTATAGTTATCTACCGCAAACATTGTTCTAATATCGGAATTACTTCTGACAATCTGACTGTTCCTTTTTAAAATGCGTGGCCGGTATTAGAGGCAAATGTCTTTCTTTTTTCATGGAGCCTTGTCTACTGCCGCAAAACAAAGCGTTTCTGATTGGATCTTCCTCAAGAATATCATAACTGTCTCAGTCGTAATATCAATGTTAAAGTAATTTCCTTTATATGAAATATTTGGTTTGCATTTTTACAAGTTAGGATAGATTGGTACTATTGTAAACATAGCACTTTGATGGCGAGGGCCTCCTTCATCTTCAGTAGCCTCTAGAACGTTGTACACAGGGTTACCATCATTGTCATCGACGGGTGCCTCTAAAGTGTTGTAAACAGGTTCCATAGGGCCCGTTGCAGCATAATGATTTGATTCTTCTGCGCCGTTAAGAGATAGTCCCTCTAAGACGTTACCAATGGGATCATTGCCATCGTCAAGGTAGTTGTAAACAAGGTCTTCTGTGGAGTCTGACGTGATACCAAAGAGGGCTGGGCTTTGTGACACATCAAGACACGAACCCTCCAAAACGTTGTACACGGGTTCAGTGCTATTTTCATCACCCTCAGCGGGTCCTTTTAAAGGCTCCTTGAGTATATCCTCCATGAGATCATAAACACATTGGTTCACACTGATAGGGCCATTTATTTTAGGCCGCGCATCTTTGGCAACTATTTCCTGGCTGTTTCTGTGACCATAGATGTTTTTTCCAACAGAAATATTCAAAGGAGCGTACAAATGTCTCTCGTCATCATTATTTTTTCTGGAATTCCCTTGGTCTGCTTCTCCATTGCGAACAGGCGCTGATGCATAAACAGCTAAAAGTACAAAAAATGTAAGATTATAGGTCGGAATAGTTCGTCTCTTTCATGATGTGTACAGAATAAAGCATTTATGTCATTAATCTTTAACTCGATCTATCATATTCCTGTAGGAATCCATAATGGCAAAAGCCATTTTCCGAAAAATTTATAGATGGTTCTTTTCGTTGCTGCAGTCTTGAAGGAGAGCTCACAGACTGAGAGAGAATTGATAAAAGTCAAAGGTGCTTTTACTCACCTGGTTCTCCAAGTGTAAGTGTTCTGTAATGATCCTCGTTTTCAGGCCCATCTGATATAATTTCGTCCAAACTTCTTATAACTGTTTTCTAACACAACAAAAAAAAAGTTGAAATTAGGAATTGAAAAGCAGCTAGAGGCCAAAGTCTTTATACGTACCCTTTTCACTTCGCTTTCTCTACCAGAGTTGGACTTCTCCCTGCCAAAAGAATTAATAGTATCATTTATTAAACTACATCAGTGGCCAATGATAGCGTTCCATCGGGCTCTCCTTGGAAAATTAGGCAAGGGTGCCTTGAAAATGAGGTTGATTTGAAAGATAGCCGGAAAACCTGGCAAGAGCGTATCAACTCGAGGTTTGCTCAAAGGTAAATCTCTTCAAATAATTGAACTTACTTACAATGAGTGTCGGTGTCGATAAATCAGGAGGGCAATAAATATAAGGATAACCAGAATGGCGACGGTAACACCTGCGATGAGGGCCAAGGGGGATGATTTTCCACCCGATCTTCGCTCTTGGTTAGGATCAGGACTGGCCACTACAGCACTCTGTTGACGAGAAGCACAATATGTTACAACCTTTATACTCTGAAGTTTCCTCGCGCATACTAAAGAAAGCTTATGGGCTGTCTATCGTGTTTTATGATCAAATGCATTCTTACTTTAGACGGTGAGATTGTTGTCGTCGATTGCTTTTCTGAGGTAGTGGAAACCTTCGGCCGGGCCTTGGACACTTTTGTCACCTCGGAAATTGTCGGCAGTGATGTTGGGGTTGGTATGGTACCTTACTATATAGGGATAAATACGATAGTGATGGATGTTTTCAAGGCTGGGGTAATAGGACTTAATGGTATTCACCGATGAGACACAAGAGAAAACCTGACTGGTTTCTTAAAACAATTACATAAAGTAGTAATGAAATATCAGAATCAATCAATCAATCAATCAATCAACTTCATTTAACGAGGGTAACATGGGACAGCGCTTCAACTCAGTAACTAGTGGCCCTCAAACTAAATTTATAAAACAAAGTTAAGTAACAAAATACATGTCGCAAAGAAAAGGAAGTATAAGGGTATGTATGAATAGGACTAACAATAGTAAAAACTATATTACACTTATAAAAATATTCTTACAATGAATATCTACAAACTATAATTACAATAAGAACACAGCTGGGATAGGTCCAGCGAGAGGAACGTAATGAAATGTTGGATTAGCATAAAACTATGAATAAAATTAAGTTTCAGTTACGCTAAAATGAATAAGAAAACTATTCCGAAAAAAGCCTTGAACAGTGTGCAGTTGCACGTAAACTAAGCTAAGGCAAATTTTAACACACTGAGATAAACCTTGCTCCTTTTGTAAGAGATTGTGTATTTCCATTAAAGAAACGAAACTCGGTTGGTGAGTGGTCGGAAGTGCGACTTCAGACAGGCAAAGATAGACCTATAGACTTAACTGTTTCGGAGAAGTTTATTAGTTTAAAGTAAAAAGAAAAAATTAACATCAAATCTGCTCAAGAAATTGAAGTCATTCATAAAACGGCAATCGCCATGTTGATGCAGATGGTCACTATGACGACATTAATGTTTTAATAGGATAAGAGATTAGTTACTGAATTAATTCTATTATTTAAGTCTGAGGGGAGAAATACCTAACATTAGTCTATATCACTGCGTCTTTTCACCGATCTAGACACCCTCAGCAATTTCTAGTTAAACTTTCATGGTAAAGACGTCAAGGAAAAAGAGGATAACGCAAACTCCGAATATTGTATGGACGTTTTTAAACACGTACAATTAAAGGATCCTTTAAATTTGAACAACAACACTCCGCTTCTAGTCGAGCCTCTCCGAGTGTCATTACAAATTATCTTGAGCTTGATTATTGTCCCTTTCAAGGAATCTTTTCTAGTCGTGTTAATTGCCTATACGCAACAAAACACCAAGGTCAGTTCAATAATTGTCAGTAACACTCTAGTTATGTTTTAAGTCGGTGAGAGTATCTTAAGAGCGTAAATTCTTTATATACACGTTTGCTCATCTTTATCATGACGCAGATGGAATCCAAAGTCGATACCTTCTCACATTTACTACTTCATTCGCGAAATTTTCCAATCATGTGTTGGAAATATTTTGGGATTGCATTGCCGTAGCTTCACTCCGCTGCTCTATGATTGGTCTCACGATACCCTCTTAATTAATTAGATGCACGATGAAAACCGAATATCAAATTAGAGTCTCTTTTGTTTTCCAGCGAACGAAGGAAAGTTTTATTGTTTTACTTTGGATCCCTATTGGCTTCCATTGAGTCTTTAATTCGTTTTAACAGGTCTTTTTGACGGATTTGATTGGTGGAGCGATTCTCAACAAAACCTTAAAAAAAATAATGAAAGGGGATTGCAGGGTCAGTAACGAGAGGTCTGAAAAGCAATTCCTCTAAAATCGTCGGGGAAATCATCTGCCAAAGCTTTGGTGTTCAAGTAGAAAAACCTAGTTGCTAAAATACGTGTGCTTCTCTTTAGGAGCCCGTCTCTCATTCTTTTATCTATTTAAGCATTAGTAATCGACCAATCAAGATCGATACATTTTGTTCAGTAGATGAGATGATTATTATCATTTTATAGTGTTTGTACGAAAAAGAGTGAAGCTAGGGTTATCATTAGTGAAGAGATAACTCACAGAAAATTTAAGTCATACCTTGATATAGTAACTGCTATTGTTGGCTATCAATTTAAAAGGGTTCCTTTCAGGCGATACATCTTTGCCGCCACCGCATTTGAAATACCTCGTTCGTCCATCTTGGGTACAATTATATATGGTGAGATTCAGTTTTAATTTTTTTCTGACGTTAATGTTCAACGGGCGCAGTTTGCTTCCTTTCATCTCGCCTCGAAAACGGATGTGTCTCTTTGTGTCGCCTCCTGTTGACATATGTGTTAAGAGTGAGTAAAGAGTTCGAAGTCGCTGATTTTACGGCACTCAGCATCTCTTATCTCTTGTGAAAGGAATATTAGATTATTAATTTTGAAAGAAACTGTAAATAACTTAGAAAAATTAAAGAAGACTGCATAAAACGACTTTGATCTCTTAAGGGCACGTTTCTTTGCAGTGAGGTTTTAAAAATTATTCTGCATAATTTATGCATAACTCCATAACGCAGGCCACGAGACTAGGTTTACACTAGAGGAAATTGTTCCGGATTCGTGATGAATCCGAAACGTTTTAGTAACGGATTTGTTTTGCCGTTTACACGAAAGTGGACGAATCCGAAATAAAAACTCTGCGGTTTGGTCGTGTATCCGGAGATTTTGAATCCGGAATTTAAAGTGGGAACTTTGAATCCGACAACTTTTGAATCCGAAAAGTTTTGTCGTGTAACCGCTTTTTTTCTCGAATCGGGATATTATTTCCGCCTGCAATCTTTTGAGTTTGCGGTGAAACCAAAATGGAGGATCTGGTGCTAGCATTGCTGGCGGTCTCCGGTTGCCTAATCTTTTTGCAGGTTCAGGCGATAAATTTTATCATGTTTACCGCAGTATTTCTGAGGAAACGCAAATTATTATTGCAAGGAAGTTTAACGTCAGCCACACTTAATCGCCGACCATGGAGATGGCTTTGCATCTGTCATGCTCAAATTTGTCTCAGTGGCATCTGGATCTACTCTAGCCTTTTTTGGGGAAGCATTTTCATTTTGTCGATCGAACGACGAAACAACACTGGGCTTGGTAACCATTCCATTTCGAATGCTCCAGGAGTTGTCGTTGTGTTTAAACGGTCAGTAATCCGAATATCCTCTCAGCATAAACGCCTACGAATCTGTATGCAACTAAACTTCAAGAAAACGTGGGAGATGCCTCTTAGAGGCAAATCCACTAAGGCTTTACCTGCTCCTCTGGTTTCTATAGATCGTAAACCATGTCTGAAGTTGTTGGGTGTAACTTTTCAATCTGATCCGTGTAACTGGGATTTACATTTTGATAATATTATATCGAAAGCCAGTAGTCGTCTGTACATCTTACGTGTTTGTAAATTCTATGGACTGCCGCTGGATCATCTTCATCTTCTTTTTATCAGTCTTATTCTACCTATATTTACATATGCTGTAGAAGTATGGGGCTGCGCGTATTATCATAAGTATCTGAGTCGCATAGACAGGCTGTTCAAGAGAGCTTTTAAGCTTGGNTATTCGCCCGCTTGTCAGAACCGAACGTTTCAAGAGGACTTTTGTTAATAGATGTTTGTTCTAGATCTCTTATTACTCAGTCAGTTAGTAATTTAGTTAGTTAATTAGTTTTATACTTGCTGAGTTCATATCATTGTAACTAAACACGTTTTTCGTTTAGAGTGCCTAATAAAGACTTTTATTATTAATAATACTCCAAAATTGATTAAAACAGAAGCATTTGCGAATTCGGAAAAATCTCCTCTGGTGTAAACCTAGTCCGAAAGCCCTTGCAAACTTTTATTCGTTTGTATAGTATTAAATTTATTAATCAGTAGTTTCACTAGCAACCTTTGTGGCTTCCCTTGGGGTTGATGTATGGGAGCCCATGAAAATGGGTTCCCACTCCACCGATGAGCAATCTCGTGATCAGCGGGTAAAAAAGGAACAAAGCGTATGCAAGGGTAGGGATGAGTGTGTAAAATGAACATAAAAGTTAGGTGTTAAAATTGAGGGAGCGACTTCTGTAACAACAGCACACTCCTAAACTCAATTTAAAGTTGTAAAAAATATATGTTATTTACTATTAAGATAAAAAATAACATCAAAATAAAATAAAATAAAATGAAGTTAAAATATTATATAAGAGTAACTATTAGAAAGAGGGGGCGAAGCATTTAGGGTTTGGGGTAAAATTGCTAATGTTATATTAGAGGTTTGGTTATAGTTTAGGGTTAGAGCTATATTAGGGTTAGGGTTAGTGTTAGTTGGGGTTAGGGTCAGGGTTAGTGCTAGATTAGGGTTGGGTTAGGGTTAGGGTTTGGGTGGGATACGGGTTAGTAATACGTAAGGGTTTGCTTAGGGTTTGTGGAATGGGTCTTTGTTTTTGACTGTAGGAAGGGAAACGGGGTTATTGAATAGGATAGGAAATAGGATTATTGATAAAAATAAAGTATTTTTCTTTTACAATTATTTTTATGGACAGCTGACTGCAGGAATGGGAAGGATATAGGCAGAAAAGGAGCAGTGTTGATTCCTATTACCATCTTGATAAGTGGTTGCAGGGGATGTGATTAAGAACTTTTTTATGCATTTCAAACTATAGATGACATATAAAGAGAACGTGAGCTAGTTAACACTTTTCCTGCGAGTTTATGGTGAGGGGTTATGTTAAAATGTTTTTGGGGTGGGGTGGGCTAAGGGCCCAGGTTTATATTTTTTTTAAGGGTTGAATAAAATCAATAAAGGTAAATAATATGGTACTTTGTGTAATAAGAAGGATCTGTAAAGAGCTAATAAAATACGTATATTAACAGAAGACTTTTATATATTATAGTATAAGGAGTTGGATCGAGGAGTGGTGAAAGAAGATGTGAAGTGTCTATATAGCCTTCCCTTTTTACGGGGCTTTCTCCGCTCTATCTCCATCAAAAACTGTCTTTTTGTTAATAACATCTGTTTTATATTGTAAAAGTGCGCAGAACAACTTAATCCACTTAACTGTTGGTATGCTCTATGCTTTATTTATTGTGTGACATCTACTCTTGCTATTGTCTACATTAATAGATTATATATATCTACTCTAGCTATTCTCTACTTAAACAAATCAATACAATAATTGTTCTCTTTCCGATCTTTAATTTATTTAACTCACCGTTCGACACCATACTTTTCGGCGAACCATTCACAGCGAAGGTGGATCGATGCATCCCAACAGTTAATCACTTTCCACAGCCAGGTTAGAACGAAAGATCTCAACAATGGGTCCTCGCCCTCTTCCAACAACGTCCGATAACCTTACATCGACGTCTCAATTCAATTCCTTCTGCTCACACACGTAGTTATCTCCTTTATCTCTAGAAATAATTCATCTTCTAGACATCTCGCGGGCCAAAATCCCTTTTACGACGAAGATCGATTAAACATCTTCATTAATTTCCCAAGAGCAATCGCGCGTTATCTGTACGTCATAAGACTCACGCAATACGATCACGCCATTCTGACGTGACCGTCCCAGATTAAGATCTTTCAACTCCGCTATTTCGCGACACGGAGCAGGTAGCGAAAATCGTTTTTCGTTAGAAATATATATAATTTTTTTTTCCTTTGGATATTAAGGACAAGGCAGCTCCCTCTCATATTTCTTAAGGTATCTATCTTTGTTTTCTTCATATAAATAATGGCAGTGTGGAGGGG